ATTGTTTTGGTAGCGAGGATTGTATCATTCTCCCCATCTTAAGAACAATTCGTCCACGAATTGTAGAGATCCCATTTTGATGAACACCTTCCACATAGCTCTTCAATTCTTGTCGCTTTTCCATACGTGCTCCCTCTTTGAAAATTGCATAGCCAACCACGAAATCAATATGATCATATTCTGGAACAATTGATGAATCCCCCAGAATTTTCATGCATTCATCACTTCCATTGATTTTTGGATTCGCCATGTATTGCTCACAATCCGACGCACCCAGAGCTGGCTCATCAACAAGAACATCTTCTATTGCCTCCTCATCATCGAAATCTTCATACTCTTCACAAAAAGTATCCAAAAGTATACCTTCCATAGGCGAGATTTCTTCATACTCCTCGTTGTCTTGATCTTGCTCTGGATTTGGATTCCCAATTGTCAAAGGAGCTTCGGGTTGGATTACCATTGATGGCGCATTAATGCCCAATAACGCTTCCAATTTAGCAAGTTTGGTGTCCCATTGTTCTTCCAGTCGTGCTTGCCGTTCAAGAATAACTTCTATCGTCGTGAGTACTAGCTTCATCGTCTCCACCAATCGTTGACCTTGCTCCATTCTTGATTTTCAAGAGCTTCAAGATCCGTCTTTTCGCCGCTGAGTTTGAACCAGTAATCTTCAAATCGCCGCTGAGTTTGAACTGGGCTCTTGATACCACTTGATGTGCTCCAAATCCGAAGAAAACCCTCGAACTCGGATGATATGACCAAAGTACGCAACCTTCCTTCTTTTTAAGGATTTTTCGAAACTTTTCTCCAACTTGAAACAAAAGATAGATGTGGAATCAATTGGACAATCCCAACTCGTGAGAAAGGGAAATTGGTATATTAAACCAATCGGACAGAATCAACTCGTGGAAAGGGGCAATTGATATAGGGTAGATGCTCGCCACAACTAGACGCGTTCTCTAGTTGATAAGAGACACGTACAATCTCTTGGAATCCTCGACAGAAGTCTTGCACAAAAGAACTCGTTCGCAATGAACTTGAACTCAACTTTGATTGATAACTTGAATATTGGGTACACAATTCGTAGCTCTTACATCCTCCATTTATAGAGGTCACAAAAACATAAAACTAACCTAAAAGGAATAGGAAAACAAATCTCAAACTAACTAGGAAACATAATATTACTTAAATAAGGACTATAACTCATTTTTATAACCAAAGGAAGCACCTTAGTAGCTAAGTAATCTCCAAACACGTTTTTAATGCTTAAGGAAGCTCCTTAGTGGTTAAGCAATCTCTTTCCTTGTCCTTTTCACATTTGGACGACTTGGGCAGCAAGGATGGACGTTTTGGCCTCCAAGAAATGTTGTAGGTCGGATCCTTAAAGCATTCTCCATTTTATCCATAAAAAATGCTCCCAGTTGATCCTTAAATCGTCGAATCCGAACCTTCATTTTGGGACCACGAGAATTGAATATCGCGCTAGTTGATATCGCATCATTCCCTCTCTCTTGAAGAAGATTCACCTCTAATCTTTATAGAATCTCGATCTCTTATCATTGCCGATCTTCTTAGCCTTTGAAAAAAAATTGTCTTGGTAGCGAGGATTGTATCACTACTTGTGGACTAAGTAACTTCTTGAAGAAGGCTTTTAAGAGATTAGGGCACGAGCAGTGGTAGGGCGCGATTGGAACCATCATCCTTTTTTGTGGGTTGGGTGGGCTCCTTGGCTCATGAACGACCTCTTCTCATCATTTGGACGTGTCTTGACCATGTCTCCTCCAGCAATGGTTGGACCCGATGTTGGACCGACGCTGGTTTCTTCTTCACCTTGGGCGAGTCTTCCTCTATTGAGCTTGTTTTGGGGTCACATAGTGATTTCCAGTAGACCTCTCCGTCATTGGACATCGTCTTATCATAAAAGGTCCATGTTCTTCTTTTTATAGCTCCTTTGATCCTCCAAGGTTCTTCAATGCTTGATCCAATTTTCCTTAGGTTGCTTTGTACCTTGAAAACCATCAAAAATACCAAGAAGGCATCAAAGAGTACAAAAACATATATGTTGTCTATTAAAGGCTCATTGATCAAATAGTTATGATTTAGATAAGAATTACAAGAGAATTGACTAAAGATGTTTGATATAAGTAGAAAATGTATCAAGAATGTGAATGAAAAACACTATAATAAAGTGTCATCAATGGCCTCTGATACTTACTTTGTCATTGCTATCGACATACAACACTTCGCTCCTCATTGGTTCACTCGTTTTGCTCCTTATAGTCATCGTCGACTATATGTATCACCCCGACGCGGAGCTTGCAATTGTTCAACGCCATCAGGGCACACCCAGACCTAGCTCCTCGCTTGAACTGCTCGATGGTCTCTAACTCGTCATTCATGACTACGAATTTGTGAAGTATATAAAGTACCACCAACGATGGGTTATCGGGTGGTTGGGCAGCGGGTACTAGCTATGGAAGAGAGGAATGCAAGTGTAAAGGATGGTGGTAGTCAGGGTTATGGAGCAGTCGATGATGATTGGTGGGATAGAGGGGTAGCCTCAGCATGTTTGGCCTGAGTTAGGGAAGAGCGAAACATAGAACGATGGGGGAATTGGGAAGAGGAGGATGAGGATGAGGGGATGGAGAAATGGTAAGAAAGTGAGAAAGAACGAAGATAGCAATAATCCCGAAGTGATATATTAATTAATATTTTCATCCTATCCTTTATTTTATATATTCTTGTTATCTTGTTATCCTTATCCCTCTCAATACAATATCAAAATGCTATCCAATTCCTAGAAATATAACTATTTATTGTTCAATCATCAATATTTATATATAGATTCAAATATTAGTCATATTATGGAATTTCTTATTAGTTTTTTGTTGCTACCCCACGAGCAGGAACAAACAAGACCTGAAGAATGTAAGACCTACAAATTTAGGAAGAAAACAATAGTTCATTTGCCTCTTAGTTACTAGATACCTCTTTTCTATATTTTTTTTTATAACCATATTTCACTAAAGTATGTTTGTTTAAGTCATCCTAATTAGTCTTATGCTTCTTTATATATTTAGTATTTGTCATAAATAATAATATAATATTAAAGGTTTCTTCATGCTCTCAATAATGAATTCTTCTAAATTAGCGCTCTCACTCTGCCTTATTCTTGCTCCACAAACTGATTACCTAAGTTTGAAGTAAAAAAGCAGTTAGCACCGCTATACATGCGCATAGAGTTTAGTGCCTGAACACGATTTTAATCCTCCATTGCCCGAGTTTACAGTATGGTTTGTTCAGTTACACCATAATTTATCAACGGGCTTCTAGCCTAAGCAGTACCTGCCATAATTATAACCATCAAGTATTGTCTTTCTGTCGTATTTTGCATTACCATTTTAGCCTAATAGAGTCGTATGCTCTATCTAACATTGTTGTTGGGCCTAACTCCATAACAAAGTTGGAAAGGTTTGAACCGTTTACCCTTCTCCCACAAGAAAAGGCTGTTTTTTTTTTACCTTTCCCTCCTTTCCAGCCGACTTTGCATTCTCCTTTGTAGAACGTGTGCTGTGGGTGTGGACTGTGGAGTGTGGACCTCTGACTGAATAATCGAGTGCAGTTCACTAGGCAATAAGTGATCCGCCATTATCAAGATTAATGGGAGCTCTGGACTCAAAAAGTGTCCTCATAATCAAAGAGGCTAGAACCTTTCATCGTATGGTCAGTTTGACCAGTCCAAATTTAGGCAATAAATAGTTGATGAGTACTATTTTCTTCATTATTATTAGTAGGACTCTTATCACATGTTCTGGAAAAAAGAAAGAGGAGCTCCAGGAGAATCGGCATCCGATGCTTCGCGCCATTATTGTACTCGCGCCATAAACTGGAGGGTGGGGGCCCAACATCTGCATACCTGGCATGAATCCAAACGGCTGTTTGATCGTGACGTGGTACAGGGAAACCCCTTTGGCTTCGCTAGCTGGCTCCCTGGCCCTCCACAGTGGTTGCCAGTTCAGCGGCCAATTCGCTACTGACGTGGGATTTGAGATACTCGATTGCATAGTACCTAAATACTATTGTTTAATACGCGTATGTACCAAATTTTATGCATTTTTGTTTGCGTATTGTCAAACCATCTCATTTTTCTTGTCATTTTATGTATCTTGTGCTAAACATGTATAAAATTCGTATCTTGCATTTTATATTCATATTCAATGAACATAATTTATCATTTGAACATAATTATACATTTATTTATTTTTAAATTAAGTAATATTATATTTTTTATTAGAGTTAATACATTAAATTGACCCAAACTTTACACAAATAAACTAATTTGGTTGAACCTGTGGGTTAACCATCAAATTGGACGGTCAACGTCGTTGACTAACGATCAACGATTCAACGTGTAGGTCATTGTCATGCCAGCAAAATATATTACAAATTCAAATTATTTTCCCTGTACTTTACCTTGACTAATAATGGTTCTATTAAATCTTAGATAGAAATTTCTTTTACTTATCTCTCTCGATAATCCATTATTAACAATCTCTTCAAAACTCCTTTTATTGTAAAAATCACTTAAAAGAAAGAAAGAAAAAATATTGTTTGACATTCACGACTGATCTCAAATAAGAGAAAGAAAGTTATTCATTGATACTACATATATGTTCCCATTGATAACTGGGTTTTCATTTATTTACAAATAACCCGAAAAAATTCACCCATGTGGAGCTCGACGATGCCGGCAAATCTTATAGATCTCTCTCTCTCATCGCCATTGCCGGCAAAACAAACCTTTCTTTGAAATAACCCTAATTTCTTGAAGAGCTTTTTCTCTTGGGGAATGCACAGAGATTATAGGAGCCTCACTATGAAATCCTGAGTTGTGTATCCTCCCCCAGAGGTGCATCGGCGACAGGAATTGCCCCTGGAAACACGTCGAGGACGGGTGATCACTAGTTTCCGACTACCACTTTACTTCTTCCGAGCTCGGGCAAATGCTGGGCCACGAGACCTTCGAGAAGGTTTACCACGCTCAGAACCTCCAGCCCGACAAAAGCGTGTCGATGAAGGTCATCAGGAAAGAGAAGGTGATCGGAGTCGGGATGGACCATATCAACCGCGAGATCTTAGTCATGAAGATGGTGAAGCATCCAAACATCGTTGAGCTCCACATGGGGTGTTTTTTATTTACTTGCAAGTAAATGAAAATAGGAAAAATAAATTGAATTTTTTATTTTTTTAATATTTTTGCGCCGACATGGCAATGACTTGGCTCGTTGATCGTTAGTCAACAGTATTGACCGTCCAATTTGACTGTCAAATCACAGGTAAGGCCATATTAGTCTATATTGTTTATAGTTTAGTTCATGATATATATTTTAGAAACTGTCGCTTGGTTTTGGTGATACTTAAATCAATGCATTGTGGTCAATGCATGATTGTAATATACATGCAATTAAGGAAAATGATATTTTGCCCTTGTTTTTATGAGAACATGTATATATAACTAGGGGTATACTTGGAACAAAAAATGAACCCAACAATCTACTCAAAACTATCTCAACAATCTCAAGTTTCGGTTGAGATAGTACTATCACTCATTTGAGTGATAGTTTCCATCATATCAAGCAAACAATTGATGTATTGTTTGTGTAGAAAATTCAAAAAAACAACATGCATTATAACTATCTCAACCAAACAATCACCAAAATCAAACGATCCTAAAAACCAAATTAGTCAGTTTTAAAATACTAACCCATTATTACTATTGAGTAGTGACGTATGTACCATTAATATAATATCTATCGGTATTTATACGGGTTACTCTTCTCATATCTTAGACCATCTCCATTGCTAAAAGTTAGCAATTGCTAAAATGAGGTGGAGGGTGAGGTGGCAATTTTATGACAATTGCTAGGGATGGAGTGGTTCTTTCTAGATTGGCAAGCTTGCTAAATTAGCAAGTCTCTTAGGAATGCCACATGTGCATATGGGTCACACTTCATTCTTGTTTTTTCCATTTCTTTTTCACCTTTTCCTATACAAATGGTATAGTTGTGCATTTATATTTTTAAGTTAGTTTACTTAGATCGAAATACATTATATATAAAATTAATAATGTGATTAGAAAAGTAATTATGAAAAATATTTTTCTAATTATAAATTATGTATGACATTTTTGTCATCCAAATACAAAAGAAAAAGAAGACACATAGCTATAACTTAACATTCATTCATGAAACTAGAAAGAAACACCGTCAAACAAAAAAACACAAACCATTATGATAAAACAAATACACAAAATTAATAATAAAGCAAGAAAGAAAATAAAGTTTGGCAAAATTAACAAGTACATGTGTGATTTAAAATTTTCCCTAGAAGCTTTTGAATTTGCATATTATACAACATTAGCATGTTGGATGTTCAATATAATTGTCAGTAATGATATTAGCGTGTCTACATCTTATATTAAAATAGACTAATTTTTTATTTTATATTTATTATATGATACTTGTTTCGATTAATTATTATTATATAAATATTCATATATTTATTTAGTATTTTAGAATATAATTTACTAAACCCTTATTTTTGCATAAACATAATATTGTCAAATACATTCATACATTATCTATTATTTAACTATGCAAAATTATAATTAAGAAAATAATAAATGATATGGATATATCGTAGACCCCACCCATAGAAATTCTTGAAGAATTGCAGGGATGGAGATGGCTGAAAATTGCTAGATGTGGCAATTGCTAAAGCTGTTAATGTGGTTGTGGGTAGGGGTGTTCAAATGGTTACCATGGTTATTACCAAATCAAATAAGGCTAAATTTCATTAATCATGGAATACAATATCATAACCAAACCGTACAAATTAATACAACAACCAAATTAACCAAATTAAAGTTTAATCGGTTTGGTTAATTGGTTAACCAGATTAACCAATATAAAATCACATTATCATTTAGTGAGAAATTTTTTGTTAATTTATCAAATCACAATTTATATAATGAATAAAACATAACAATCAACACATAGTTATAGTTGACCCTTAACATAAATACATGCAACTAAGACAATTATCTTACGGTTAGTATAGAAGTATTCACCTAACAAAAATTTATCACAATGGTATGGGTTAATAAATTTTTGTGTTTGCTTGAATTGACTTAGTCTTTTAGCAATTTTCATAGGCTGAAAAGGTCATTGCTTTCAAGTTTTCATCCAACATAATGTATGAGATTTATCTAAATTAGGCGTTCATATGTTGTGGTCTACACTCAACATATACAAATATACATCAAGCTTTATATTTTATGTCTAAAAGGGATGAACGTTTAACTCTTGAGTGGTTATTCAAAGTCTTAAGTATGTGTATATATTAGATATATGACTAATTATTTATCTGGTTAATTTGGTTTGACTGGTTAGGAGTGTCTGAAACCAAACCACTTAAACCAAACAAGCTAAAAATTTTAACCAAACCAATTGTCCAAATTAACTAAACCAAATTATCCAAATAGTACTAGTTAAAACGGTTATCATGGTAACCGCACCGTTTGAACACCCCTAGCTGTGGGGACTATTTAGAAATTGCTAAACCATACGGAGATGGTCTTAGAGCATCCATATTGGTATTGCATTCTCAATTGCAAAATAATATGGCATAGGTGTTTGCAATTGCAAAACCAATTGCATTGATGTGGCTACCAATTGCATATTTGCAAGCTTGCAACAAATGCAATTCCATATGCAAGTCAAAAAAGCCTAAAAAAATGGGGATTTTTTACTTTATATTATTTTCTTTTCTCTTTTACTTAATTTTCTATAATTTAAACATAATATTTAATTACATTTGCAATTGCAAGTTAATTGCATTGATGTAGGTGAATGAAATGAGTATGATGTGGATTGCAAAAAATTTGAGTTGACAATAAAAAACACAAATACAATTTCTTTTGCAATTGCATTGATAGATATACTCTTACTAAGTACTAACCAATTAAGTAAATTAACCATACTCGATGGTGATGGTGATGGTGTGATGTGACGTGACTGTGGGGAAAGGCAAAAAAAGCAAGGACCTGGGTGGTTGAGCTAGTGGCGGGTCCCACCGTTTTTTTCTGTTTTGACTTGTATGGTTTGATTGTGCGTTGGAAGGAGATCGAGCGGTTCTCCGTGATTTCATTTCATGTTCGCGGGGATTGACGCAGGCAGGCTATTATTTCTAGACCGGCGGGCTCCTTCCCATTTCCCATTCCACCACCGTCAAATTTGCTCTTAATTCCAAATTGCCGCATTAGTGGAAAGGACAACCCCTGCCTAATATAAAATTAGTGCATGGTTAACTGTTTTAGAGGGAATTGCGTCTTACCAACTGTGATTTTTCTAAATTTGGGAGGTATGAGTTACCTCATTTGATGTGTGGTCTTATAAATATATGTATATTATTATTGATGGCTTATCTGGGATACCGCATACTTTGAGTATGAAAGCGCTATCTAGACCTCGAATTAGCAGTAATTTTATTCCTGATACTATACTCTAACACTTAATGAGTGAACCCTAAGTCTTAATTACCTAAATCATAAACTATAAACTCTACGATGATGTTTTCATTTTTTGCCTATATTTGGACGAATTATAACCGTTGATTATTGTTTCTAATTAAATTGATATCGGGTTATAAGATTTAGAGAATTAAGACCTAGATTTTGATCTTTAAGTGTTAGAGTATAATATCATGTCTGAAAGATCAGTCAATTCAATATCTGGATACCATTTTCATACTCAAAGTATTCGGTACCCCGGATTTCACCCTGGGTACCGTAGAACTCACCTATTATTATATGTATTGTCGAATTCGACGCATTGTAAAATATAACGTATGTTATGTGTAATTGTGTATTTCACATCAGTAATCTGAGATAAAATAATATCAACTCAACTATCTTAATAATATCAGTTAAACTGAGATATAACAATCACTCATTATAAGTGATGGTTTATCACATAAACAATCCATCTGTTGTGTTTGCTAAAAAAACAAAACAAAAAATTAATGCATTCTAAAAAATACAAGTATAGTAACAATCTAAAAACAATAATTACAATTTCCAAATGGACCCTTAGTCATTTAATCATGTTCTCTATTTGGGTCTTAAGTGATTTTCTCAATTTCTTCCCAATTATTAATTTTAGTTTATGGTAGTGTAAACGATATACTCTTTGAGTACCCTCAATAACAAATTCTCTAATGTGTCTCCACATATTGTGCAGAATCTCGAATTCTCAAAATAAATTGGTTTTTTAGTACACTCCACCACATGCACATACTTTAGCTTGTCAATTATTGTTTCAAGATCGTGAAATAATACCTCCTCATCCTCTTGCTTTGGATCATGTCTCTTTCCCTCAGTCTTGCCCCATCACTCGATGGGTTGCTTCTCCTAACGACTTCCTCAATATCAACTTTGATTATCTTGTCAGAAATTTTGGTTATGCTTCTAGCCTAGTGACTCGTTGGATCAGATGGACAAGTTCCACTAACAGTTGGGTATCACTATACTGGGGTGTTCAGATACTAACGTTACAGAGCTACTTGCTGCTATAGATGCCCTCTCAGTCATTGTCTCCTCAAAGGTATATCTAAGGTGGCAATTCATTAGCTTCGGTCAGGTGTGGTGGCGGATCCACTAGGGGACCCCTTTGTGAGAGTGTAGTCAACTAGTTTTTTTTTATGGGTAGTCAACTAGTTTCTTTATGTTCCTTTCGTATAGTCGTTAGAGTCCGCGAGTTGCAAACTTGGCTACCCGTAGAGTGATGCGTAAAATTTTGTTGACTTTTTAGACTTAACTTTCTTTGATATTATAGCCTTACTTCATTAGTGTGTTGCTTTGGAAAGGTTCCTAGGTTCAGGGGCGGAGTCAGAATTGAAAGTTCAGGGGCAGGATTTATTTAGTAAATTATCGTGAAAATCCAAAGATAAAAATAAATAATAACGACACATATTAATTAAAATAAAATAAAAACTCAAAATATAAATAATTTAAAGTTTGCTAGTATGTTATACTCAAAATAAATGTTTGTACTGTGAGCAAAATTTATCATGCATTTTAACATGTAATTGTTTTATACCTTGAATATGAATTTATGATTATATTATTGTTTTTAAAAATTAATTAATTACA